ATTTAAAACTTGCACATAATACTGGTTTTAATTATGTATATTGTTATAAGGCCACTGCAGGAACAGCTACTTCAATGTTTTTCCAGAATGTTCATTTACAAAAGCAACATTTTTTAACATACAGGGTATGTTTCCATTTAAGACATAAATCAAACTAACTAAACCTACTCCGTTTAAGAGAATAACTAAACAGATGTATGTAAAATTACAGGTTACAGGGTCACTAACCCTGGATTTGCTAGAAATTAAATAGGAATCTTAACTGAAAATTGCTGCAATGAAAAATTTCTCCAACTCAACTAGGTTTCCATTTCAACTGTCTAGCAATTCACGGATCATTTACCAACAGTTCCCCATTTAGAGTATAACCAGCGGCTGAACTACCACAGGTGCAGCTGCACTGTGGTCCGCATACTGAAGGGGGCCCATTGAGTGGCCCATACACTTAAGTCCAACCAATGGGTATTGCTGAACAGGTATACAGAAAAAACAGAAGAAAGGCTGCGCCACAAAAAATAAATAAAACAAAAGAAGATAAAACTCGATGGAAAAATAAAATAAAATAAATAATAATAAAAAAAATATAAAAAATATTATATATTCTGTATAAAAGTCCCAATAGTAGGTGGTGTCTTAACTGATGTGGTGTCTTCTTTGTTAACGGTTGTCCGTCTCACGATATGAAAAACACAATGGGAAAGGACTAATCGTGCAGAATGTACAGAAAAATAATAGTGAGGTTAAAATATAAATTGCACACTCACATGTCCATGAGCTAGGACCAGCTCTAGTATGATAGGCACACAGCGGATTTCCCTCCGCTTATAGGGGTACTTTTCCTCCTGGGGGGGTGCTGGTATCCAATTCTCATAAAAAGAAATAAAAACAGCCGATAGTGCTCTCCGGAGAAATAATAGCATAAAAGGATAAAAATAAATAAAATATACTCACAAATAGAGTGCAGGACTTACTGCACTCTGTTGGTCGCGTGGGTGGTATAATCCCCACCTTAGGATATGCCAGGAACAGTAAATAGAATAAAATAGTATAGAAAGGTAATATATGTAAAATTATTATTTATTAATACAATATATTATAATATTTTTAATATTTTTTTTATTATTATTTATTTTATTTTATTTTTCCATCGAGTTTTATCTTCTTTTGTTTTATTTATTTTTTGTGGCGCAGCCTTTCTTCTGTTTTTTCTGTATATTTGTTCTATAGAGGGTTAGAGGGTGACCCCCTATTAGGTTGCTGCCTTTTATTTTATTTTATTTGCTTTTATTATTAGCGCTAGCCGTTCAAACTTTTTCTGTGTATTGCTGAACAGGTACCCGGTCAGGGGGCACTAGTATTGGCAAAAATAAAATTAAATATATATATATTGTGGCAGGGGCAGAACTTACTGTGTGGCGGGGTGGGGCTAAAAGTGTCGGGTAACAGCTGCAGGGGAAGCAGGAAGGAGTCTCTGCTTCCCCTAACAACCATTCTCAAGGCACTGCACTACTTCCACCTCCATAAGGAACAGAGGTAACTATGTGTGACTGTCTGCCTGTGTGTGTGATTGTCTCTGTGTTTCACTGTCTGCCTGTGTGTGTGTGTGTCTGTGTGTATGACTGTCTGCCTGTGTGTGTGATTGTCTATGTGTTTGACTGTCTGCGTGTGTGTGTGTGTGTGTGTGACTGTCTGCCTGTCTGTCTGTGTGTGTGTGTGAGACTGCCTATGTGTGACTGTCTGGGCAGACTAGACGGGCCGAATGGTTCTTATCTGCCGTCACATTCTATGTTTCCATGTCTGCCTGTGTGTGTGGCTGTTTACCTCTGTGTGTGTGTGTGGCTGTCTGCCTCTGTGTGGCTGTCTGTGTGTGCCTGCCTGCCTGTGTGGCTGTCTGCCTGTGTGGCTGTGTGTGTGTCTGCATGTAAGTATGTGTGTGTAAGTCAGACTGTATATGTGGCTGTGTGTGTGTGTGGCTGTCTTCCTGTAATTGTGTGTGAGTGTGTTTATCTGCCTGTAACTGTGTATGTGTGTTACTGTCTGTACCTGTGTGTTTCTGCGACTATCTGCCTGCGACTGTGTGCATGTGGTGTATATGTATAACTGTGCATCTGACTGTGGGACTGTGTGCACATAACTCTGCAAAAATATACACCTGCATTCACACATAGGCTTAGATGCATATTTTATCTGAATTAAATACCCATCACACACAGCCAATAAACCCAGCACAAATATCACATACAACCAGTACACGTATACCACACACAGTTAATACACCCATTACAAATATCACACAGCCAACACATAGCATACATATCACACAGTCATCACACCTATCACATACACAGACAACAAAAACATTACATCATATTATAGTGAGATGTATTATAGTGGAGCTCTGGTATATAAATGCACATTACTCTGTTTTATAGTTAGGGAGCTCGGTGATACACTAATAGACAGATTACTTAGAGTTCTATTGTGGTATAGTGTATGATCTTGTCACAGAGCTCCACATTACTGAGAGTTTTATTGTTGTGGAGCTCTGTGATAAATGGAGAAGTAGCGTATTACTAAAAAAAAATTATTTCCAATGAGGTCATGGTAAATAAGTTAAATCCAGCGCTCCGAAGCAAAACAATTCACAGTATTATGTGACATACTTAGTCTGCTCTTCTGTAATGTAGGGGAGGCAGTCTGGAACTTCTGGCCTGCATTTCTGTTGGCTGGTAGCTCCCTCCTTGTAATAAACTGAATGAACAAATGAACACTGATACACAGTGTTAGTTTGTTCGTCTGACATTTCTATTCATTCATTCGTCTGTCTGATGAATGAATAGATGAAATTCGCATGTCCAAGTGTTTCACTGGGCATGTGCGGGAATCTCACAGTCTATCTATTGTGGGCAGATGACGTGTCCCACAGGGACTTCATCTACCCACAGAAAGATGGCGGCGCCCAGAATATAGATCGGGGCAGAAAATAAAGAATAATAAATAGGTAGGGGGGCGTGGCCTGGGCTCCGACGAACATGGCCGCCTAAGCGCTGAGCTCCGCTCCACAAACGCACATAGAACGGAGCATCCCACTACTCACCGGCGCGCACTGCCACCAATGGGTCGCACAAAGAGAGGGGACCTCCCCCAGACCCCCAAACCTTCTGTCTCAGGGTCGCAAATGGGGCCGATGGATGAGTTCCTCCACGCGCCATGCGGCCCGGACCCCAGCTCCCCGACATCCAAAATGGCGCCGACCTCGCCAGCATCCACATGCTCCACTGCCGACACTACTACACTGGCAGACATCGGAGCAGAATTGAAGCGCATGGCAATGAAGATGGTCACAAAAGATGACCTCACCCACCTGACTAACAATCTACATGAAGCAATTAAATCTGAAGTGACCGGACTGAAGGCCGAAATCAAAGCACAGGAACACCGCATACAGCAGGTGGAAAGAAGGGCACAGACCACTGAAGACCACTCTACAGCCACAGACACGGCCCTCAAACGCCAGGGCACCCTCATACTGGCCATGAGGCGACAGCTAGAAGACCAGGACAACCGCAGTCGTCGCAACAATATCAGGGTAAGGGGGATACCTGAATCTCCAGAGGGGGAAAATATAGAAGAGATGCTCACCTCCCTATTCCGCATCATCCTAAGAGAGGACACACCAGCGCTTATTAAATATGACAGGGCACATAGAGCACTCCGCCCCAGGCCCACGGAAGGAACCCCCAGGGATATAATATGCTGCCTGCGCTCCTTCGCCATCAAAGATATGATCATGAGGAAAGCTAGGTCCAGGGCCCACTGGAACTACAGGGGCGCAGAAATATCCCTCTACAATGACCTATCACCAATGACCCTGGAGGCTAGAAGAACCCTGAGACCGGTTACCACCATCCTGAGGGAGAGGAATATGCAATATAGATGGGGTTACCCATTTAGCATCACAGTTCGCTATAATAATGAATGGGTCTCCGCACGCTGGCCAGAAGACATTCCTCAATTCCTACAACGCCTAAACCTACCGCCAACCCCGGTTCCGAACTGGGTATTCATGCCGCTGGATCCAAGACCACAACCGCAGCGACTAGCAAGGCGAAGAAGATGGAACTCTCAAGGTGAAGCTCCGCGACACCGACCAGACCTAAACAACCCAGAGGAATAACCCACTACCAGACCAACCGACACCGCTCCTGTAGACCCCACAACCCCGAGACAACACAGACAGCTGGCACCCACGTTGGAGAAGCACCTGGAGGCAAACCCGCACCCCAAGAATCAGGTACTCTGACATAGGGTAGTTAACATATTGGCAGGAGACTAACAGAGGGGACACCCCACCTACCCCCCTGGCATGGGAGGGCACCACGCTTCACCATGATACTGACCGGACTAAGGGATATCTCACTTGCGAATGGGTCCTCCACAACACGAAAGGGTTCTAAACAACAACAACAAAAAAAAAAGGGGACGAAAAGGGAGGGGCGGGAAGAAAAAGACAGCAGGGGAATGAGTCCTATTGGGGAGGGGGATCACAGGGGGGAGGGTCGGGGACATAGAGATCGGGTCCTAGAGACCTCCTGCAGCATTGACTTTCGTGAAGACAAAGAACTGATTCCATACTAAATGTATAGCTGATTGCGAGGCCAGAGACTGCTCTTTATTGTACGACTATTGTGAGTAACCTATCTTGAATGGCTAGACTATGCAATCTCACTCTGTGTTACTGACCGGGCCCCCCCCCATGTCAAAGGGACCGACATGTATAGATAACACGCTCCCAAAGAGGTCCATACACTACATACAATCACAATTCCCTCACTCAGACGACACACTGATGTCGAGAAGACACTGAGCAGACGACCATCCCACCACCCCCTAGAGGCTGTGAACTATGAACAAAAGGGGCGGGGGACGGGGCGAGGGGACATAGAGGAGGGAGGGGGGAAAGAACGGGGAAAAAAAAAAAAAGAAAAAAATACATCCACATGATCCAGATGCAACAACCCAGACACAATGAGAAGAGGACCCACAATGCACACACCCCGAAGAGATATCCTCAAGCCCCTACTTTGACTACACGCAAATTACCCTTACGGTACTTCCCCCCACCCGATACCAGCGACACCGAAAAGGCGCAACAAACAGGCATAGTGCTGATAACACTACAGACACACATCAATGGCATTAGTGATGACTATATAACACCTCTACTACAGTGGACGGACGCTACAACCCCAAAACGGAAATACACTTCTACACAACTAACAGATTCTACCGACGATACACAACCCTTCTCAAGCATCAACTCCACAACTGACACCGCATATACCACACAGGCACCACAGCCTAAACAGATAAGGGCCCAGACACGCTACCCACCCCTTTCGGTGCGCACGCTTAATACTACGGAGGCCGACTGGTACACCACCGGGATAGAACCTGGGGTGCCCCCCGACCGACACCGTAGGCACACGAACTCCCTCTCCGCGGAGAGGATCACCCCCTCACATTATCACGACACGCACACCACATCTATCCTACTCTCCAACATCCAAATAAGAAACACACACCCCCATCACACGAACCAGACACGGTGCCTGACATAACCGAAAGGCACTGAGCCTGAGCAGACGACTCCCCTAGACCACACAGGAGCAAATACCAACACCCCACGAACACCTCACACGTGACCGCAGTCCAGCATCTCACCCGAACGCCACACCCCCCCCCCCCTGCGCTCCTGACCCGGCCGTCGCATCCGCCTCGAGCTAACCACCAGAGAAAGCAGGACCAGGACTGAGAAGATCCCCGGTTCAAGTCCCCTGTTGGGAACTCCAAGAGCGACCACGTCTTGCCGTCTGTCTATCAGGTGAGAACCGTGACACACAAGAGGGCGAGACTCGGACGAGGGACCCCGACACCCGACAAGACACCACCGCTGCGCAGAGATACGGGCAGGATGGCATACAGACCAGACCCGATGAAAATCATCACACAAAATTGCAGGGGACTGAATCTCCCAGAACGCAGAACTAATCTCTTGAGGGAACTTCAGAGAGAGAGGGTTGCAGTCGCTCTTCTCCAAGAAACTCACTTTCGAGAGGGAGCGGCCCCGACACTCAAAAACAAACACTACCCCACTAACTACTACAGCAACCACCCCACAGCGAAAAAGGCAGGGGTCGCGATCCTTATAGCAGCTCGTTTACAATTCCAGGAACAGGATCACCTTATAGACCACAACGGCAGATACGCCTTCGTAAAGGGGAATATCGCAGGGCGATGCTACACGTTCGCGACAATCTACGTCCCCAATAATAACCAATCTAGATTCCTTAAGAACACACTAAAGGCACTAACAGACTTCACGGAAGGAACCCTGGTCACGGGAGGAGACTTCAATGTCACACTAGATCCTAAAGTAGACTCCTCAACGGGACACAGCAGCATCCCACAGAGAGAAATAAGAACCATAAACCATACTCTGAAAACACTACGCCTGGTAGACTGTTGGAGAACGCTAAACCCATTAGACAGAGAATACACTCACTATTCCATAATACACAAAAGATACTCCAGGATAGACTTCCTATTATTGCAACAAGAAGCTCTAATAAGACTTAGGAGAGCATCCATACACACTGCAACGTGGTCGGATCACGGACAAGTGTCGATAGACCTCGAATCTCCACTCATAAGACCGACGAAAACGACGTGGAGACTCAACGACTCCCTCTTAACCGACCTCCCACTAAGGGCCCAAGTCACCGACACTCTACAGACATATTTTACCGAGAATGAGACGGGAGACGTTTCAGATATGACAATATGGGAGGCACACAAAAGTGTACTCCGGGGCAAGCTCATCCAAATCGCGTCACAACGGAAAAAAGAAGCGGGCGCACTTATGTCAACCATCCTTGACCGGATCCGCTCCCTGGAAACACAACACAAACGCCAACAGGTGGAAGATACCTACAGAGAACTATTAGAAGAAAGAAGGAGACTACACGCACTACTACTCAAGAGACACCTGAGACAACTCCGCAGATCTAAAGGTTTCTTCTACCTCCACGCAAACAAAGGAGGCAAACTCCTCGCACATATGCTCAGGGGACAACAACACCCCTCACAAGTCCACAAATTAAAAACAAGCGACGGCACTACTACCCAAAACCCGGAGAAAATCGCCAAGGAATTTCTCACCTACTACTCCTCACTCTACAGTACACACTCACAAAGCGACGAAGAAGGCAGGCGACTCAAACAAGGTCGCATGGAATGCTTCCTGAGAGAACATCTACACACGACGGTGACAACCGAAGATGCAGAAACCATCGACCGCCCGATCACCGAAGACGAAGTTAAGACAGCTATCAAAACGATGAAGACAGGCCGCGCACCCGGACCCGACGGACTTACACTGGACTACTACAAACGCTTCCAAGATATACTAGCCCCCAAACTTACAAAGGCGCTCAATGCCATCACTGAGGGACATACATTCCACGCCGAATCACTATCGGCTACAATTACAGTAATCCCAAAACCAGGCAAGGACCCGGAAACCTGCAGCAGCTACAGACCCATCTCCCTCTTAAACGTGGACACAAAACTCTTTACCAAAATATTAGCCACCCGACTTAGCAACCTAATGCCAACACTCGTACACCCTGATCAAACGGGATTCATACCGGAACGGGAGGCTCGAGATAGCACTCTGAGAGTTCTCGCTATACAACATTTAGCAAGACAACATGGAACACCACTCCTGCTACTCTCCACGGACGCCGAAAAGGCGTTTGATCGAGTTGACTGGGCATTCCTGGAAACGACGATACGTCTATTGGGGTTTAATGACAACGTACAGAAATGGATCGGAGCGATATACAGCACCCCGACGGCAGCGGTGCGTGTTAACGGAGCCCTGACTGAGTCCTTCCCGATTCGCAATGGCACGAGGCAGGGGTGCCCCCTGTCCCCGTTACTGTTCGCATTAACATTGGAACCCCTACTGGAGGCAATCCGATGAAATATTAACATCACGGGTTACACCTGTACAACCGCCACACATAAAGTAGCCGCATACGCGGATGACATGTTGTTCTTCATTACACGTCCAAGACTCACCCTACCATGCCTAATGGAAGAATTCGAAAAATATGGACGCCTCTCGGGCCTCAAACTTAACTTGAGCAAATGCGAACTGCTCAACATCATGGACCCGCTGGGGGAACACAGGGATATAGCCTCGACCTTCCCGTTCCGTTGGTGCCATACCCAAATGAAATACCTGGGGATATGGGTGATGGCTGACCCCAACGCCATATACCAGAAAAACTTCCTCCCACTTCTCACACGCATTCAACAAGACCTCCGAACCTGGAATTACCCACACATCTCATGGTTCGGCCGCATAGCGGTCATCAAAATGAATATCCTACCCAGACTACTATATTTATTCCATACAATCCCAGTGACATTACCGACGACCTTTTTCGCGACAATAAAAACCGCATTCCTGACCTATGTCTGGAGAGGATGCAGACCTAGACTACGATATGAACTATTATGCAAGACCAGGAATCAGGGCGGATTGGCACTCCCAGACCTACGCAAATACCACCAAGCGACAGCCCTACAGCGGATACTGGAATGGCATACTAATCCGAGATGCAAACAATGGGTGGCCTTAGACAGAGAATCATGCAGCCCGTCTATTTTTGCATCCCTGTGGAATCAGAAAACGCCACGGCGTCACGACCCCGGCACAACTTCGCCAGCGAGTCACACCCTCCACATATGGTCAACAATGAGGAACGCAACGATCATCTCCCCAACACCCAGCCCGATGACCACGCTAACACATAACCAAGCAGTGGGTGGAGGACTACCGATCAAGGCCTGGGACTTTCTAGAGGGAAGAGACTTCATACCACTCCACAAAACACTAACCGCCACAGGACTGACCCCCCTGGAACACCTAATGGAAGGCCCGCCAGCTCCCATGCACAAATTCCGATACTCCCAGCTGACGCATTTCTACCACACCCTACCGAACAAACAAGCAGTACACAGAACCCTCACGTGGTTTGAGGACATCTGCGACAAACAAACACCGACTCAGAAACCAACGTCGACGCTCTACCAATACCTAATCACAGGTGAGCAGCAAGCAACTCGACGATATAAGGAAAAATGGGAAAACATCACCAACACAGTTTTCACCGACGCACAATGGGACAAAATTCTGATCCTCCATCACAAATCCTCGATTAGCTCAAAATACCAAGAAATGAACTATAAGCTTTTGACATTCTGGTACAGAACCCCAGACCTGCTCCACAGAATATTCCCCAACACTTCGGCGACCTGTTGGAGATGTGAAGCAGATATTGGAACACTAAAACATATATGGTGGGACTGCCCCAACATTAAACCGTTTTGGAACCAGATTACGTCCCGCATCAAAGAGGTACTAGGGCACACGATGCAATTGTCAATAGACAACACTCTCCTGCATCACACTAAAGACCCGATTTAAAAATACAAACGATCCATCCTGCGACACCTTCTCGACGCGGCCAAGGCTCTAATCCCTGCCTAATGGAAAACGACAAACGCCCCCACAATGGAACAATGGCTAAACAGGGTAGAAGAGATCAGATTCGCAGAAGAAATGCATGCGACCCTACGTGACACCCTCACGAAACACGTCGACAAGTGGCAACCTTGGATATTATACGTGGCAAGACGAGATGGGGGGGACGCGGCGGCTGGAGAAGGGAGTTAAGGGGGCCTCCACCCAACCCTCCCCCTAACAAGCCACACACACTACACGCAATATAACTACAACGCTCACAGGATCAACACACCGCCAACACACAACCACCCTATGAACACAACCAATGAGGGCACAGGACGTAGCAGCATACGATACTGGCAATAACCTACCAACCCCCAAAAAAACAAAAAAAAACGACATCATACAGACCTCTCATTAAACCCAAGCCGACAACCCCGACTCATGCACCACTACCCAAGTTAGAGCTGAACAACAGGAGATCCCCGAGCGAACCTCACACACTAACACTCCAGAAACCGAAAATCCTGATCCCAGAATCACGATGACACAAGGAACAAGGATAGCCCACTCTCCCGTGGGATCCACATCACACACACACACAACCAACGGACTACCCAGCACATGACTAGGACACGACACGCGGGGAAGGCGGAAGGGACAACAGCATGAATGGAACAGACTTGGGAATCAACCACACAACGAACATAGATACCACTCATACCAGCCAAAAAAAAAAAGTCCACAAAACGCCCGTGCTACTAGAGCTACCCCTCCATCTTACTTACTACGCACTCACAAATACTTCACACAGATAAAAGTATATGATAGAATACAAATTTCAAACCCAACGCCTTGTAATTCATGGAAACCGCAGACACACACACCCACATAGACACAACACATACAAAAGATTCTCCACATAATAAAAAAACCACCCCGATCAGGACCTACGAGTCCACTATACCTCTACCATACCCTCTCATGAATGATCCACACGTCACCGAATCTGATTAAAATACA